AAGTCCCGACCAGAATGTTCACGGTTCGAGTCCTGACAGGGGCACAAAACGTTCGCACTGCTGACGAGTCCCAAACAGGACGAAACACCTGTCCGGTGCTGTTTATTGGTTATCACAAGCGTTTCCATCGCATTGAAATCACTGATATTTGCTATGTGGTGATCATCTGACATCTAAGTGTAACTGGTTTGTGTCCGACGAGCCGCAGATTTATCAACCCAATAAGAATCGTACCATCTAGTGGTGCGTATCAGGCGCTCTTGACGTGAACGAACTACTCAAATGTTCAGTGAGTTAGATATCAACGTGTAATGAATAGACAAGCGCCTGGCAGTGTGTTTGACTCGGGACAAGGCGGTGTTTCATTTGGACAACGTAGCTATTAAAGCATCATCGTTTGTACACACAAAAAATGTCTGTGAAAACAGGTGAACGTGTACCGTATGAATGAGTAGTGAAGATGGAAATTTTTGAATTTAACTTTGGTTAAAATTCAATCGAGGATAGGGAGTAAACAGATGCTTATTTTACTTGTCTCCAATTTTGCAGATTGTTTAACTGTTTAACCAACGAGTTAAGTGAATTGCCGCAAACTGTCTGCTGGTCAAAGCATAAGATATCTGTAATAAACAACAGAATTTCCTTTCGGGTGATTTTCTTTTTTTTGAAACATGCATATGCGTTCAACATTGTGATATCCTTGTCTTTCGGTTGATATTTATTTCCTTTGTAACTTCCGCGAACAAACTCGTTATGTTGTCTGCTGTATACATTCTGGCAAGTTACTACTTACCAACTGTCAAAATAAATCGCTGTTAGATCATATTTACCCGGTTCTATTAAAATCATTTTAATGATCCAGAGAAGGGTTGATGTTGATGTGTTCTCCCTGAGCTGAACGTGTTGTTCGCAGACGTTTCATAGTCAGACTAGGTAGCAGCATCAACGCAAATTCGGGGAAGCGCCAGTTCTCAGCGTGACTGAAGTTTTGATTGGTCGTTCACACTGAGAACTGGCGCTTACACAAAATTGCACTGATGATGTTACCTAGCCTGGCTACAAAACGTCATTAGCTCGGAGAAGACACCAACATCAATATCCACATCCCGTACCATAATCAGTCCACATTATTTGCAATCAAGAGCAGTGTATTAGTCACATTGAAGTTTGCTGGGATTTTTAAGACAATCCATCCAGTTAATAAAGTTTTACTGGGAATATACCTAAATAAGCTAGTCCTAGTGCCATTTCAATCGAGTGGAAACTATCAAATTTTTTTCACTGGTAAACGGGTGGTGGTGGCCCGATGACAAAGACG